GAGGCCCTGTGATTTCTAGTTACGCCCCTGTTTAGTTATTTTCAGTGGTATGATTTAGTGGTGAAAATTATTAGTGCCCCCCCATTTTGACTGTGGTATCTTATGTGCCCCCCTATATATTGTTCCTAGAGTCGCCACTGCAAGGGTGTCATACACATGGCAGTCAAAAGAAGATCACACCTGCAGTAGCAGACACAAGCTTGTGTTAAATTGCAGACTCTCATCTTCACTGTAGAAGTGATCCGAGTGGGTTTAAAAAGCCACTTGATCGTTTCTTCTGAAATCAATGGTGTACATTATATATACAAATAGTGCTTAGCTAAATTATTATTACATAGTATTTATATAGCGCCAACAGTTTGCGCAGCGCTTTACAATATAAGGAAGACATTACAGTTACAATACAATTCAAGACAAGATGGTAAGGAGGGCCCTGCCCCTGAGGGCTTACAATCTAAAAGAGGAGGGGGAAATGATACATGAGGTAGCTGTGGGAATGAATTGTGTGAGAATGTGAAATTATCTATTAATAGTGTACAACAGTGAACCTAAAATAATTTTCTTATACCATAAACAAGGGCAATTTGAATAATGTAATATGGGTATTTTAATTGTAAAAAAAAAAAAGTACCTTAATCTGTTGGTGTATGTGTCTACACAAGTTTTCATTTTTGCCAATAAGGTGCCCACAGATGCCTGTGACTCAGTCTGTTCCTCCTCCTCTTCTCCATTAGCTCCAGACAGGGGAAGCAACAGGGGTACCAGTGCTACACATGAAGCGATGGCTCGAAGCAGCTCCAACAGAGCTCGATACAAAGGCACATGTCTAGCCATATCCAACACTGAAAAGAAAAAAAAAATTAACACTTTTCTTCATCTTCTTCAAATTAACACATTTTTTGAAAAACTGTCATGCACCACCTAAGGCAACAGTCATACTTTTAATTAAACGCAGGTGAAGTTACCTGGGAAGTATAAGAAAAAAAATGTATGCATTCCAGATCACTTACATGTACCCATGTTTACATGAGTTTAGACATGTTCAGAGTATCTAATAGGGATGCCGATAAGGTGTATTTGGGAGAGTACTCATACTCGCTCAAATGCTCAGATACCTACCTCCAATACTGGAACTTCCAGTCAGAGGGAGATCTCCCTCTGACCGGCAGACCAGAGGGAACATGGAGTTGGCTTCCTTTCCCATCAGGAAGCCAGGTGGTGAGTCATGAGGTGCCGTCCGGCTTCCTGATTGGTCAGGAAGCCAGGCTACCTAGAACAAGTGAAGCCGGTGTTCTTTTGCTAGAACACCGGTTCCACAGGAAATCAGGAAGCCGGGCGACGGGCCATGATCTGCCGCCCGACTTCCTGATAACCCGGACACATGGCAATGGTACTCGGTATCGGCGAGTACAGGAAAAAAAAATAAATCGGTGCTCTAATCTGCCTAAGTACAACTGAGCCTCTGCTTCCCAGTGAAGAAATTTCCTCACAGCCTGTCTGGTCGTACTGTTTTAAAAACACAGCTCTGTTGCAAACTAAATTTCCCAAATTTGCTCTGAAATGCATTCTCCATAATTTCTTATGGTGAATGCACGAAAAGGAAGAACCAGAAAATTAAGTTCACACCAGATCCCTGTCTAACACAGCACACGGTTATGGAAAACATTAAAGACCTGGCAGAACAACAACAACAAAAAAAACTACCATTGCAAACTCAAAACAAATGATTTGGCTAGATTCCGTTTTCACATTCCGTTTTACTGAATGTAAGCAAGTAATTGTTAGCTGTTTGAATTCTCAAATACCAAGCCTTGACCTTGTGTAAGCTGCTTTTCGCTTTGCTTCAAGAACCACGAATTACAAGAGTTGAAGTGAATATGGCGTGGAAGAAAGTGGCACAGTGCAGCAACATTATATGGTTTTATTACGGTGTTAAATTACACACAGGTAATCAATACCACCAACATAGGCTGCTGTCACTGCATTTTAAACGATATTCAGACACCCTAAGAAAAGCGGTTTCGTTTCTTACACTGACATACAACACAAAAATAACAGCAGTAACAAAATTTTACAGCAAAGTAATTTTTATTTATTTAGTGTTGATGAAACCTTGGAGTTTCATGCAACTATATATGTAACTCTTATATTGTCTTAATTGTTAAAAATTCTGTTGAGGTTACACCTCAGCAATGGCAGAGCTACACCAATGCATCCCTGGCTGTGGTTAGCTGCAGGGATACAGAAGAGCAATACGAGGCATGACTTTGTGAGAAACAGGCAAGGTTCAGGTCATATAGGATTTTGCAAGTGGACAAAAATAAATGCTTCTGAACATTGGTAGTATTACCACCAAAATACATTTTCCAACTTCTTGAAAAAGGTCTGTGTGAAGTCAACCAATGCTTCCCTCTGCTTACTGAATTGACCAAGTGACAAGCTACACAGCAGTGGGTCTTGGGAGTTTTGAGGAACAGCAGATGTCTGGTTGCTCAAAGTTTTAGGTGAGATACATGCCTAAATGTTGCCAACCCTGGTAGCAATTAGTACCTGTAATTCCAGGCATATCAGATGTCATAGCATGAGTGCTGCACAAGATGATAAAGGGATAATACATGTGATTATGATGCAAGAAACCCTGGTCTGAAGAGCAGGAATTGTCTTCAGTCTTTTGATCAAATTACATGCTTTTCTGCATATTGGTTTTACCCTTCATGTAAGATTATGAACACTGATTCAAAAACTAGGATTTCGTTATTAATACTGAATGATCAGAAGCCTACCTAACAATGTACTCTGAATGTCAACACAATAAAAAGGCTGCAATATACCCAAATGTCAGTGACTATCCTTTCATTTTTCAACACTGGACAGACAATTCTAACATGCAGAAGCCAAATTTAAACTGATTTCAGGGTTAACTTCATAAATTGATTTTACATCTGTCGTAACTATATCAATCAGCCATATTAGTTAATGCTTATGTACAATGAAAATATACATCTTCATATGCACTCTAATACTAATAGCATAAGTATTTATCTTTAACGTTGTTAGGAAAAAAAAAAATCTGCTTAAACTTTCAAACACTGGCACTTCATTTTTCAGGGTCACAAATATTTATTTACTGCCTTACAGTCCCGTGTGGCTTCGAGCTGCTGTGCAGACACAGTGCGTGTCTGCAAACCTAAACCTAGATGATCTCAAATGCATATGAAGCAGCAGTAGCACTATAAAAATTTCCTTGTTAGACAAAGGGTGGGAAAGAAACAGGTGCGCACCTGCATGCTACATTGTCCCTAGCAGATGACATCAGCACTAAGTTTACTCAATCTGAACAGTTACCTTAGTAAGAAGGGTGAGAATGTTAGGCCTCACTCACACAGGCGTACACCTGCGTCCGGGAAGGAGAGGTGCAGTCTAATTGCATGCAACTGTCTGTACATCTGTATGACAAGTGGCTGTACACCGATCCGAACTTGCATGTAAGTGCAGATGCATACACTTGGACACAGACGGTGTCCCAGTGCGTGCATCTGCATAACCGTTCAGGTTGGCATGTAGCCGCATCATATCATACCATAGCAATGTTCAGACGGCTGCAAACAATAAGCTGCACCTGTCTGTCCTGGGAGCAAGTCTCTGCAGCATGCACGCAATATGGATGTCCATACCCCTGTGAATGAGGGGTTAAAGAGAAAATTGTTAAAATTGTAACGCAGTTCCGTTGCTGCATTCCAACCAACCTTAAAAATACATCGAAAATTCAATACGTGATATCAACACAGTGTACAAGAAACTTGTACGAGAATCTAGTACTAAAGGATTACATGTCAAGATCTGCTAACTGCAAACGTAGCTATGCTACGGCTCTGAACCAGAAAGTAGTCCATGGCTGACAGTACACAAAGGTCTGGAAAGTGGAACAAAATAGAGCCCAGTCACAATCAAGGTTATTTTTGACCTGTACATGAGCCTAAGTGGAACAAAATAGAGCCTGAAGGTCACATTCAAGGTTATTTTTGACTTGTACATGAGCCTACTCACAGAGTGAGGCTTTAGAGACTGGATAAGCAGATCCTGATAGCTGCTGCATAGAGACCAGCTCAAGCAACATATTCAATGCCTTGATTAAACCGAAAAAAACATCTGCTAAGTATGTTGATAAAAATTTTTATCACAAAAGAAAAAAATTCTAGAATTTCTCACCTAGCAAAAAACGAAAGCATGAAGGTTAGCGGTTGGGTTATACAAAGGCTAACCGTTGATGTTTTTTTGTTTGCCAAAGTCCACCTCCTGTAGGCAGCTACATATCATTGAAATGGCTTGTTTTTAAAAGTGCAAGCTTTGCAGTCGTTCCGAATAACCTGACTTTAGTATCTTATGTGTCACTAAACTGTAACAAGAATACAAGATAGCTGTTTTAGAAGAAAAAAAAAAAGATTTTACAGACTCCACTAGTTCCAGAAGCCCAAAAAATCCTTAATTGCACTAAAAGCATGTGTTAAACAATGAGAAAAAAAAAAAAGCAAATAAACAATATTTTTTTCTAGAAATTCTACCCACAAATTCCTAAAAGCTCCTAGAAGAGTTGATGTTCATATACTAAACTCAGGACTTAAATCTTAAAAATGCATTCAAGTACTTTAACTATTAACAAAAATGTACCTTATTTGTGTTATCACGAGACTGTACATGAATTCATAATGATCGTTATACGGTGATCTTTGAACGGTGTGCAAGGCACTCACATTTCATGCATTACAAAGCAGTACCAATGGTTGAAACTAGGGATGCACTGAAATTTCCGTCGAAAATGTCACTTTTGGCAACTCGCCGAAAGTGCCAGGACGGCCAAAAATGTGGCCGAAAAGAAGCTTTCAGGAGGCCGAGCGGCGGTGACTTAAGTCAGGAGGTCGAACAGTGCGGGCGGTGACAGCTGTCATCTTGCAGAAGGCGGAGCTCTCCTCCAGAACCTTCAATTTCAGCCTCCTGTGACAGGATGGAGAGCGGTACGGGGCGGTGCCAGCTGTCATCTTACAGCAGGTGGAGCTCTCCTACCAGCTTCACTTCCTGTGTCAGAATTGAGAGCTGCGATTGGAGGAGAGAGCTGCGATCGGCCACATGAGGTGGGGCTCTCCTCCCAAACTGCCCGCCCCGCCTCCTGCTACAGCTCAGAGTAGAGAGCGGTGTACAAACACTCAATGATCAGCTGATCGGTGAGTGTTTGTAAATAACTGGACCTAGTGTTCTTACTATGTCCAGTTATGAATGAATGCAAGTGCATTCATACACATAAAATGCACACTTTATGTGTTTGAATGAACAGGACACTCAGTACAGAGGCTTCCTGTTCATTAATAACAGGGGCTGCAGAAAAAGAGATTGTCCACAATCTCTTTCTATTTCAAAAGGAAAATATTAGGGGTCTGTTTCGACCCCCGATATTTCCCTAGAGCCCGCAGCAGTAACATTTAAAAAAAAATAATCTAAAAATGTTTTAAAAGCTTTGAAACCCCCCCCCCCAAAAAAAACTATTTTTGGTTTGACAATTTTTCCCCCCTTTTTCGGTCTAAAAATGTCATTTTGGTGCATCCCTAATTGAAACCCTTTGTCAAGTTTTTTTGCCGTTTCCCTGCTGTGCAGGGTTTGTCCTAGTGACTATTATCCCAGATACAGAAAGTAAGGGGATAGTAGTCAAATTATGAAATTTTATAATAACCAAAACATTAACAGATGTCCAAATCCTCAAATAGGGACAACTATTCCTATTAAATGGGAATTTCACACACTCTGGGGAGCCTATATTTCCTGTTACAGCTTCAGTACGGGAAGTGAAGGA